TCATCTTATGCCTAATCTTTATTACTAATCACCATGTTTGCTAAATTGTGTTATTTATTATCATTGTTATTCCATTTCTATGCTTTGTTACCAACCATATCAGGTGACAATATAATTTGTTTGCTTTTACTAACTATTCGGTGCCTGTTTTCTTTGAAATAGTATTACTACTAGGTACTAAATATTACTTCCACAGATTTTCTGTGATATTGCTTTGTACACTCAACCTAGTGTGTCAGAGGGGACGAAGTTCTTAAGGAGGTTGAGGCAAAGAACTTCTCATCCTAACCAGCAATTACTATGGGGGTAGCGCTACATTTGGATAGAGAAAAGTTTAGAAATTCTATGAAGATGGTAACATACATTACAGTCCGAAAGTACAACCTCTGTACTATCTCTTTCAATAAGAAACAACTAATCAGTGCAAGGTGCTACCTAAACCATCAGTCAATTCATGTCCACTCTGGTAAAGCTAGTGGTAGTTGGTCACTTTCAATTGTATCTATTCTGTAACGTTTAAGACATTTCACCATCATCCAAACAGCACCTACAGTTGTAATGAATGTTGGGAACATACCCTGGTACTCATAGAAACACGGGTAACTCTGTCACCTTAACCACTTGCCCTCTTGAGGATTTACCCCCCTTCCTGACCAGGCCATTTCTTGCGTTACGGCGCTGCATTACTTTAACTGACGATTGCAAAATCATGCAACGCTGCACTCAAATGGAATTTACATAGTTTTTTTCCACAAACTGAGCTTTCTTTCAGCGGTATTTGATCGCCTGTGTGATTTTTATTTTTGCGCTATAAAAAAAAAAGGACCAACAATTTTGAGAAAAAAACAATATTTTTGACTTTTTTCTATTAATGTCCAGTACAAAAATTTTAAAATCAAATTTCGTCATAAATTTAGACCAATGTATTCTGCTACATGTCTTTGCTAATAAAAATACACACTTGGTGTCATGACATCCCCAGTGACACCAATACAGTGATCAGTGCTAAAAAGAAGCACTGATACTGTACTAATGGCACTGGGCAGGAAGGGATTAACATGAGGGGCGATCAAAGGGTTAACTGTGTGCAGGGAGTGTTTTACTAGGGGGCCGTGTCAGTGTGCAACAAAATAGTCCTCCTCCCTGTTGGAGATGCTCGGTAATCACCACGCGCCGGTGGGTAATCACCAGCTGGGACCCGGTGATTGAAAGTCACAGCCATGAATGACGGGGCGGGTAGTGTATGCGTACCGCTTGCGCGGGCCCCCTACCTGAAAATGCAAAAATCACATATATATACGTGATTTTGCACACCCCTGCCACCCTGTAGCAGTATATCTGCTATAGGGCGGTGGGAAAGTGGTTAATCCAATCACAATAAAATGTGTCAAGCCAGACGCTGTTTGTCAAAGAACATGACAGCAGTGAAAGATTGTGAGCAACACTGTTCTAACTCACATTATATAATTACTATGGTGCTACTGTGTCTGGGGTTCATCGTTGGAGTGAATGAATGAATTGAAGTCCAATATTTGTGGTAGAAAAAGTAAACAACATTATATGTGGATGACACATGGTTTTAAAAGTTACCACCTCAGTTTTGATAGGGTTGTTTTGGTTTGACATAGATTGGTCTCCTTCACATCTATCAGGGTAGGCCCTAAAGCAGCGGCGTAGAGAAGGGGAGGGTCAGGGGGGTTCAACCCCCCCCCCCCCAGAGCATTCATTAATGCAGCAGCAGCTAGGCTACAGTAGCTGTGGGACTAACCGCTGTGAGAGCCGAACAGTCTGTGTCCTGTCACAGCTGCAACATGTCTCCTACCTGTTGCTTCAAATACATGCCCCAAGGACTTGGGGGATCCCGAGTGTGTCAGCAGGGAGGGACCTATGAGGAATCTTTAGATACTCATTGGCTAAGGAGGCAGCATTGGGCGCTGCTGTCTGCAGCCTTCCGCTGTCCTCAGCCAATGGGTATACAAAGTGCACTTTGCCTTAGGGCGGCCTAGATGGTGGGGGTGGTAAAATGCCTCTTCAGAGCCAATTAGCAGTCCCAAGGAAGAGTCCCATCTAAAGGGATGCTTGGGCTGCTCTCCACTTCAATGAGGGCAGAGAAGGCAGAGGTGAAGATCACCAGAGGGGTATGGTAGTAGGTGGAGAAAACTAGTTCCCAGGGAATCAGCCTCTCATCCTGAGCCTGGTGCTGTCTGGAGCTCCATGAGGACCAGAGGAAAGCAGCAGACCTTGTATGTATGTATGAGCCACTGAGTTGTAGGAGACTACACTCCCTCCCCTTGCTGGTGTTCACTGGCTGATGCCTATCCACTACCTTGGGGTAAGTGTGAGCTGGTGGTCCTCTCTGATCTGTGTATATGTCTGAGTCTTGAGCCCAGTGCCATCTGACTGTAACTTTGGGTATTGGGGGTCACCACTGTGTAATAATGTGTATTAATGAGGGTCACCCCAGTGTAAGCTCTGATTGTGTGCACCCGCCTATGTACTGTGTACCACGTGATCATACATGGGGGTCCCCTCTGATCTCTATGTAGATAGAGTGCATTTACTACAACTCATCCCTGATCAGGTTTGTATGCTTTGCTGTCCTTTGCTAAATCTGGGGTTCCTAATTTGTTATATGGGGCTCCGTTCTCATAGATGTAGTCCTGCGTTGCACTTTTTGTTCTCCACTTTGCCAGAAGGGCAACCTGTGCATCTCAATAAGGAGCCCTATGCATGGCAGAAGCTCATGTACACTTTTGGCTTCATTGAGGGCTTGCACACATATGAAGTGTGTCAAAGAACGTGTGCTTTTTTGTCCATTCCCACATGTTACATTTTAGGGAAGCCCTTTACCCCTGGTTCACATTTGATTGGCCTCCTGTACCCCGGGAAACGAAAGGGAAGAAATCCCTGCACTTCTTTGGAAACCGCAGTCCGCATGGGAACCAAGGTTCCCAGTACGGTTGCGATTTCCAGTGCGGGCGGCATTCCATTAGAATTAATGACCCCCCTTCCACGGGTTCCACATTGCTCTGAGTGGGTGGTGCTGTTGCAGGTATTTTTGTGCGGGTCCCCTTCTTCCGCATTAGGCACTGCATGTTCTCCTCTTTTTTATCTTGTTACTCCTTACACAAGATCGTTTCATACTATTTTACCATTTTCCTCAGTTCTTCTCATCAGCTCTTACCTGATCACCGCCAGATAATTTCTGCACTAACAGAGTACTTTTTCCATTAGCAATTGTTCCCATCTAAGGATCAAAGGTAGATAAATGTCCCATGCCACAAGATTTCAAGTCCAAACTGTTTTATTTTAAAGCCAATGTGTTTTTCAGGGGGTCAGTCTATGCCCCCATTACTGGGGTGTAGGGAAATGTATAACATGAAAAGCCAAAACCTTTCTAGTTGACATAATCTGAAAGAAACTGATTGTAAACCAGTGCTGGGGCAAATGACTTCAGCTTCAAATAGTTTAAAGGATTTCATCATTTCAACATAGTCAAGATGAGCCAATCACTGCTTTCTTTACCTCTCCTTCCCTCCATGGTACATGTCTTTGCAACTCTGTACCCTTTAAAGTGACATTAAAACCTATTTTTTTTTTAAAAAATGAAAATAACAAACATGTTATACTCACCTGCTCTGTGCAGTGGTTTTGCACAAAACAGCCCCGATTCTCCTCTTCTGGGGTCCACCACCGACACCCCTGGCCCCTTCTCTTTGGCAGATGCCTCCATGGAAAGCTGCATTTCATGGGGGCACCTGTGTGGGCCAGCTACCGAGCCACCCTATCTGCGTCTATTCACACAGAGTAGGAGGCTCGGACTCGCCCCCCATTCCCTCGGCACAGCATTTGATTGACAACAGAGGGAGCCAATGGCTCCTGCTGCTATCACTCTGCCCAGGTAGGAGAGAGGCAGCAGCCAGAATTTCTGCTCTCATGCACATTGCTGGATTGGATCAGGCTCAGGTAAGAATAAGGGGGGCTTACATTATTTTTTTTTATTTTGATAATTACCTAATTATTTAGGTATTTGGGTGAGGTAAAACTACAAAAATGACTTAACAAAATGAACAAAAATAAAATGGTTACATATGAACAGTAAAAAGAAAATCAATTTTGAAAATAGAGAAGCCAAGAAGGGAAGAAGGGCATAATGAAAATGAATCAGGGTTACTGAGTGTTAATAAATTGTTAAGTAATGGGTAAGTAAAGGTAAAGAAACACCACAAATAAATGTTCTGGAATCAGAATATTTAGATTTTTATTCTTTTATTAGCTTACAAATCAATCAAAGATACTAAGACATTATCGTTGACAGTCTGCATAGCTAACAATGGCCACAGCTTGTTTATGTCAGTGTGAAATGTTTGGTGTTCAGGTTCTGGAAGCAGATTTGTGGTTGGCGATCTCTATGTGCAGAGGACTGTCCCAACATTTGAGGTATTTAACCAGTACATAGGTGACATTCTGAAATATGTTTCTAAGTTCTGTTTCCTATCTAAGGACCCATTAATGCAATCTTTTTATATGCCCTACAACCCAGGATCACAGCGTAATAAAAGCAGATGAAAACTAGTTGAAGTAATCATCTATGAAGCTCTTGACACCAATGTGCTGCGTTAGAAAGAAGTGCATTTTGATTTTGACAAATTTTTTTGGTAAAAATGTGTATTACCTTATGGTCAATAGCAACACATGGAAACACACTGAAAAAGCACTGAAAACACAAAATGCATTTAAATTAGTGATTTTTTTTTATTAAAAGTCACATGGTACATGTCCCAGGAAGAAAATTAATGGAAAACTCACTCAAAACTCACACAACCTGCTGTTTGCCTTGCATTACATTTTAATGTTACACATTATAATTGTACTAAAACATCTTATGTTCTTTCATTAAAACAGCTGTGAACTTTCTAACACAATGGGGTGAATGGGGTTTAAAACTTCTTTTCTTTATAAGCTGTACAGAACACAACCGAATCAAAATCAACAAGATCAGTCTCAGCCTTCCTTTGGGAAACCTCCAAATGGGTGATAACAAATCCCTCGTCACTGAGCATACTTCTCAAGTAGCTTTCATTACTCTTTACAAAATGGAACTTCTCTCCCCCAACCGTATAGAATGTGCCATTTAGAACTCCATAATACATCACATGCCCTCCAGGTTTTAGAAGCTTTGAGAATCTCCTGAAATTTCTTGTAAAATCTTCAAGGTCTTTACTGATGGCTTCCAGAAAACTAAAGAACACCAGGCAGTCAGCTTGTGGTAGCCCAACTGGGTCTGTGAGATTTTCTTTGTTGAGATCGAATTTTACAACATGTGCAATTGCCGTCCTGAGTCCAATTTCCTTGTCCTCACATTGGTCACTGGAAGGAAAAGGCACATCCCTTGTCATGTAAAGCATTCAACTGATATTGTGTGATCATTGAGCATATTAAGTCTGAGCTGGTGAATGCCGCTAACATTTCTGAGCTGTGGAAGAGCCTTCCAGGTATCAGTGGGAGAGGAGTGTCAACTCCATCTATTTACCATAGAGATGAAGCGCTTACAGTTATCCACTAACCACCAATGCTGAGTGGAGGACAGAAATATTCCAGCCAGCTATTAGTCACCAATGCTGGGAAGGGAGGGGATGCTTCTAGTTCCAGCCAGCCACTGACTGCTAATGCTGAAAGGGGTTTGCTCCAGCCAAACACAAACCACCAATGCTGGGGGGGGGGTTATTATTCCAGCCAGCCACTACCCATCAATGGGGGAGGTGTTTTTATTGCCAGCTCATGACCTCCAATGTGTGTGCTTGTGTGTGTGTGTGTGTGTATGGGGTTATTGTTCCAACCAGATATTAACCACCAATGTTGGGGGGGTATTTTTACAGCCAGCCACTGACCACCAATACCTCTAACCAGAATATTTTTTGTTTTAACTGTTGCTTGTTGCTAAGTAGCTACTGACTATTTTATGAAGTTCTTCTGTAACCCCCTGACTGCTGGAAGATTATATTCTCTTCATGACCAAGCCATTTTTTGCTATTCGGAACTGCGCTACTTTAAATGACAATTGAGCGGTCATGCAATACTGTACACAAATGACATTTATATAATTTTTTTTTCCACACAAATAGAGCTTTCTTTTGGAGATATTTAATTACTATTGTGATTTATTATTTTTTTAATATATAAAATTAAAAAAGACTAAAGATTTTGAAAAAAAAAAATGTTTTTTACATTTTGCTATAAATTTAGACCAAAATGTATTCTGCTACAAAATGTCTTTGGTAAAAAAAAATCTGAATATGTGTATATGAGTTGATTTGTGTTAAAGTTATTGGGTCTACAAATGACGGTATATATACTAGAGGTTTTCTTTATTTGTTTTTTGTTGTTATACTAATAATGGTGGCGATCAATGACTTATAGTGGGACTGTGATAGTGCGGTAGGCAATCTGACACTAGCTGACACTGAGTGGGAACTGACTAACTGCCACTGACATCACCAGTGACACTAATACAATGATCAGTGCTAATAAATATTCACTGTCACTGTACTAATGACACTGGGCAGGAAAGGGTTACCATCTGGGGCAATCAAAGGGTTAACTGTGTGCCTAGCAAGTGTTCATGAGTTTACTGTGTCTCGATTTTACTAAGGGATGTGACAGTTTTTATTCCCTGGCATAAAACATCCCCGCTGTCAGTAGAGAGATCTGTGTTTACCAACACAGATCTCTCTCTCCTGTCATCTGCTCCACCGATCGGTGGGTCCTGGCCAATGATCCATGGCTGGGACCCGCCTGTGCTGATCAGCATGTGCTGGAGCCAGTGACAGCGCAGCCGGGTTGGCTAGCAAACGTGTGTGCACCCCCTACCCGGAAATAAACTATTACTTACATACACATGTACTGTATGTATTTACGTGTGTCTGTCTGTGTGTGTGTGTGTGATTCTGCACAGCCGGCCCGCACTGTAGCAGTAAAACTACAGTGCACAGTCTGCAAGCGATTATGGTAGACTGAAAAGCATATGTAATGGACGAGCTTCATTTAAAAAAAAATATTATACCAAGTATTGTATCTGTTAGACTCAGGTTTTATTTAGCCATGCCCTTTAATACCTTTCCGCTGTTAGAGCAATCTGGCCACACCCACAATTTGGCATGGTGCTCTGTGCCTACTGCTTTGTTAAACAGAATGGTTTTTTTAATGTACATGTGTAGGTGGGTGGAGTGTGGCATGGTTTCTCCCTTATTCCGGACTCACGAGGGTCCAGTTGATGATCTTGTACAGGAGCCCATTGCATTCAGAAATCACCCCTACGCCCCCCTCTACCCCTACACTTGTTTTTCCTCTCCTTTCAGTTCTCTTCTCCTCTCTTTCTCTCCTTTCTTCCCCCATTCTCTGTTCCCCTCTCTACCTGCTCTTTCAACTCCACTTCTTTCCCATTCTCTCCCTCTCCTCTCCTCCACCTCTTTTGCTGGGTATCACATGCTGCATACCCAAAAAGATCCCTCTATCATTATTACATTTGAGGTTAGTGAAGTATTAGAGCATTATGAACATCATTTTTTCCCCTCATATTATCACCTGATTTACAAGTCTTCTAACAGCTGAAACTACTAAAATAATACAAATGTTTTAAAAATAATGTCTGGTCCTCCTCGCAATACTACTAGATCATCACACAATGCATTCAGCCTGACTCAGACAGAAAACTGACAGATACTTCACCTCTGTCCTTCCGTTTCTGTCACAAGTGTACAGGTGTGCGACCAATCAAATGCTCCGGTTCGGCTGTTCATCCATTTTTTCACTTCTACAATACAGTGGTCAGAAGGTTTGAGAAGGATGATATCTCTGAAATATTTTTGTGCTGAATAGAGATGGTGAATGATGGGTCCAATGCTCATGTCAATCAACACGTCTCCTTTAATGTCACCTGCAGCAAACAAATAAAAAAAAACTTCAAAGAGAGCTGTGGTATGGATGGTGTCTCTGAAGTGCATTTGAATTCAGAACAGCTAACCTGATGTTTCAGTTATTGGTAGGTGCCGGAAAGTTAAACCCCCTATGGATTACTTCTATATCTCCAGCATTTTATCAACGAGATCTCTAAAATCCTGGCTCTTCACCCCCTATGCATATTCTTTTACTCCAACACTAAGTTAAAGTATCTACAGGTTTTCCTAAAGTGGATCAGAAGCAACTCTACTTTGTCTCTAGCTGGTTTGTGTAAATATATGATTCTTCCATCTTCTATTTTCAGTCATTTCTTTACTTGCACAAGACCATTCTGCAAATCAATAGTCCATGCTTCATATCTCCCAATATATACTTCCTGCACAAAGAATTTATTATTCAAAAAAGAGCTTTACCCACCTGTGGAAAATGCATTGTGAAATTTATTTGCAGGATAACTCAAAGCCTCATGAGCAAAGGGCATTTCTGGTTTACTGGAGCAGTATGTATCTAGCAGAGTCCTGGAGTGAAGGCCGTGTACATGGTAGAGTTTTATGAGAGCCGGGTTCCATCTTGTATTATTGTTGTCTCCACTACAGCAATCTTCCAGTGTTCCTTCTATCTTCTGATGCATGGGAAGAATTCAACTTCTTAAATAGTAATATGACTTCATTAGCATGTCACCCAATATTAGTACATTGTGACTCAAGTCAGCATTCTTTGATAGTAGAGATTCAGGTGACTGCCTTGTGATCAGCCAACAAAGTAAACAATTTAAAGTATATTTAATTCCAAAGTTTTCTTTATTACTTTTGGGAGTACAAAAGGGTTTATCCTTTCTTAGAAATTACTGCATTACAAGTGGAGTCGGGACATGGGGTGGGCAGGAGTTGCAGCCACCCCTGGCGCAGCAGCGGGGACAGGGGGCCCCTCATTGCAGGCACGCTCCAGATCAGTGATTGGTATCTTCATGTTGGCTCTGAGAGCGGCTGCTCTCACTCCACAATCCAACATGCCTACTCTTTATCCCATTACAGCTGACAAAAAAAAACACACCCTGCATGCGCAACTACCTTCTAGCTGCAGGAAAGCACGCAATTGGCCAAGAATGTGCAGTGTACACACTGTGCTGACCATGGGAGGAGGGAACCGATGACAGCACATCTGCAGAGTACTGAACACACAGCTGAAAGGCCAGACCAGAGGAGATAAAGCCTGAGACCTGAGGGCATAGATACCATGGCAGTGCAGCATAGACCACAGAGATCACATCTGCACTGTTGCTGCAGGGAGCATCCTCTCACCCTCTACTTCTCACCAATGATCACCAGAATCATTCTTTGGAGAGACTGAGGGGACCTCCTTTCTACAGTCACACCACAGGGACTGGTGAGATGGTACTGCCCATTGTTCACACTGATAACAAGGACTGAGTTACTGGAGATAGGTTATTAAGTATACTGCACCTAAACTGCACCTGTACCACACCTATACCGCACTTTTACTGCATCTTTACCACCCCAAAACTGCATGCTGGTTTACTAAAACTGTCTTTAAGTGCACCAACGCTTCTTAAAGGGCCCCAATGATAGCTGTCAGAAGACCATCATCATGCCCCTCCAGTAAAACCAATCTGAAAGACCCCTTTGTTCTCATCTCCCATTTCCTTCATTCCTATGGACAGTGCGCATCCAGTCGGTCCAGGCCTAGCATAGTCGCCATTAGTTCCTGTGTTCAGTAAAACAACATTTATTGCTGCTCACCAGTGAAATTTAGGTGACATTTCTACTGTTTATGCTGATTTGAGTTACTAAACCTGGAGTACTCAGAATTTGGTGCAACTGTGCATGGTAGCCAATCAGCTTCTAACTTTTGCTTGTTCAGTTAAGCTTTGAAAATAAAACCTGGAAACTGAATAGTTCCTTTTATTATTATAGAAGTATTTATATAGCGCCAAAGGGTTTGCTCAGTGCTGTACATTAGAATGGGGACAAGACATGAGACAATACAGTAGCAAAACAATACATGATACACAAGGGTTAGAGGGCCCTGCCCTTTCGAGCTTACAGTTTAGGAGATGCAGAGCTGCACCACATTTTGCACTCTCCAGTTTTAGTAGATCTCCCGCAAGTGTCATCTTATACCTAATCTTTATTACTAATCACCCTGTTTGCTAAATTGTGTTATTTATTATCATTGTTATTCCATTTCTATGCTTAGAAACAACCATATCAGGTGACAATATAACCAGTTTACCTTTACTAACTATTCGGTGCCTGTTTTCTTTGATATAGTATTACTACTAGGTACTAAAATACTTCCACAGATTTTCTGTGATATTGCTTTGTACACTCAACCTAGTGTGTCAGAGGGGATGAAGTTCTTGAGGTTGAGGCAAAGCACCTCTCATCCTAACCAGCGGTTAATATGGGGGTAGCGCTACATTTGGATAGAGAAAGATTTAGAAATTCTATGAAGATGGTAACATACATTACAGTCTGAAATTACAACCTCTGTACTATCTCTTTCAATAACAAACAACTAATCAGTGCAAGGTGCTACCTAAACCATCATTCAATTCATGTCCACTCTGGTAAAGCTAGTGGTAGTTGGTCACTTTCAATTGGAATCTATTCTGTAACGTTTAAGACATTTCACCATCATCCAAACAGCACCTACAGTTGTAATGATTGTTGGGAACATACCCTGGTACTCATAGAAAACACGGGTAACTGTGTCACCTTAACCACTTGCCCTCCTGAGGATTTACCACCCTTCCTGACCAGGCCATTTTTTGCATTACGGCGCTGCAATACTTTAACTGGTGATTGCACGGTCATGCAATGCTGCACTCAAATTAATATTTATGTCCTCCTTTTTTTTTTCAACAAATTTAGCTTTTTTTCGGTGGTATTTGATCACCTGTGCGTTTTTTATTTTTTGCACTATAAAAAAAAAACAATTTTTAGAAAAAAAACAATATTTTTGACTTTTTGCTATTAAACATGTCTAGTATAAAAAAAAAAAAAAAAAAAAAAGAAATTTTGTCAAAAAAAAAATCCACACTTGGTGCCATGACATCCAGGAAGGGGTTAACATGAGAGGCGATAAAAGGGTTAACTGTGTGCAGGGAGTGTTCTACTAGGGGGCCGTGTCAGTGTGCTTCACTGTAAGCATTCTGCTTTGGATGGCTGTACTGTGCACAGCCATCCAAAGCAGTGTGCCTGAGCTGACAGGGAGGAGAACTGTTAGTAAACAAAACAGTCCTCCTTCCAGTCGGAGATGCTTGGTAATCATAGGGTGCATCTATAGCTAGGTGCGAGCTGTCTGTGAAAGCTGTATCCTTTCTCAGCTAGGCAGAGATATGACCAGTTTTCCTGAGAGAGCTGGAGTCTCCCTGGCCAAAGTACCTGTGTAATTTCTCGTAACAAGGTAACCAGCCTTCCCAGGAGTTGAAGGGCCTCTGAGCTAATAAACCTAGCTCAGCGTAGGTAACAGAATTAGATGAACACTTCTCAAATCAATTTCTCCCCTATGCCTCATATCTTGGAATATGAGAGACTTACATAAAAACCGGACACCTCGTTGGATGGCCAATGAGCAGGCGAACAGTTTTACGGGTCACTCGCTTATCTCGGACCATCAGGGGAGCCGAAACATAGAACTCATGAACCGTGCAATATATAATTTCATAATTCATATCTAAATAATCCCCAGACTTGTCTGCATAATAATATACCCGCAGGAGGACTGTCACTTGTGCAGATGGAACGTTATAGACCAGAATATGAATTAGGAAAGATGTTGGTTCCAGTTTAGGGTTCCGCCTGATGATCCCTCCCTAAACAGGGGATTGGTCTTTCACTTCAGAACCACCTCCTGCTGGGAAACTTTAAAACAGGCTGCCAAGCCTAAGGAAGTTTAAGTTAAAGAAGTCTCCCATTCTTAACATCAATATACTACCTGGGGAGACCTGTGCCTTTCGCTCTGAAACGTGATCTGCTTCCATTCAAGGCTTAATGGCAAGTAACTTAACCCTTTAACTTCTCCCTGTTATCTCTTTGCTGTGCTGTTTTATATATATATATATATATATATATATATATATATATATATATATCTTAGTTACATCTTCTCTGTAAATATTTTTACTGCACCTGTTTGAACCTTTTAGTAATAAATCTTTTTTCTGAAAGTGTTGAACTGTTTCTATAGCTCTTAATTGCAATTTACGAATCCCTGCCTTTAAAGAGATGCTACTGTTGGTTTAACTCTCTGTATAACCGGCCTGTGTCAATGACCGGGTTATGCAGTCGACTATATCAACCATTATAGTGGTATAGCTGAACGTGAGTTTCCTCTTTCTCTGATCAAAAAGGAGGTGGTGGCAGTGTGAAGGGGTTAATTGCATAATTAACCTGGCCCAGTAACAATCGATTCAGGCTGCTGGCACATCGATCGGTATCCATTAGCTGGAAAATTGTTGTGCAGGGTGCAGCTGGGTGTGGCTTTGTTTCGCACGTCACATCGCGGTTTTAGGTCGGCTAGCCCTTCGGTCACATGTTTTGGTGAGAAGGTCTGGGGTCTGATGCCGCGATCGTGACACCACATGTTGCATTTTAGGGAAGCCCTTTACCCCGATTCACATATCTTCAGTCGCGCGCGCCGCGCGTTTTGCGTGGGCACAAGAGCCCATTCATAAGAATGGACTCCCGTGCCCCGGGACACGCAGGGAAAAAGTCCCTGCACTTCTGTGGAAACCATAGCCCGCATGGGAACTGAGGATCCCAATACAATTGCAAATTCCAGTGCGGGCGGCGTGCCATTAGAATTAATGGCCCCCCTCCCACGGGTTCCACACTGCTCTGTGGGGTTGGAACGGTTGCAGGTATTTTTGTGCAGGTCCCCTTCTTCTGGATTAGGCACTGCATGTTCTCCTCTTGTTTTTTATTGATCACCTCCAGTTATTTCCTCCGCTAACAGAGTACTTTTTCCATTAGCAATTGTTCCCATCTAAGGATCAAAGGTGGATAAATGTCCCATGCTACAAGATTTCAAGTCCAAACTGTTTTATTTTAAAGCCAATGTGTTTTTTCGGGGGCCAGTCTATGCCCCCATTACTGAGGTGTAGGAAAATGTATAACATGAAACGCCAAAACTTTTCTAGTTGACATAATCTGAAAAAAACTGATTGTAAACCAGTGCTGGGGCAAATGACTTTAGCTTCAAATAGTTTAAAGGGCTTTCATCAATTCAACATAGTTAAAATGAGCCAATCACTGCTTTCTTTTACACCTCTCCTTCCCTCCATGGTACATGTCTTTGCAGCTCTGAACCCTTTAAAGTGACATTAAAGCTTCATTTTTTAAAAATTTAAATAATAAACATGTTATAAATATACAAAAAAATCCCCCTGCGCTCCACATAACCTAGTGATCAAAAGTGAGCTGCTATCACCTATTCTTTATACCTCCAGATATGTGCAAACAAATTATATAAATGATGAAGCGCTCAAATTATATCCTTCAAAATTAAATAATAATCAATCTACAAAAATCTAGTGCAAAAATCCCCCAC